CACCCCAACTGAAACAATTCTGTGAAACCAAAGCTGTAATTAGGCATTTTGGCATTCTGGGTGAACAAGCATATTTGCGTCCCCTACTGTTTTTTTGAGTTAGGATATTATAGAGTAATGATAATGCAGTTATTTTTGCGTATCGGTACAGTAGGTAGACAATAAAAGCAAATGTAAGGTTCTTTTAGATGCCACATTAATTTTCATACAGTCCTTTAACATGCCTATAGCATCCTATATAACAAGGGTAGGCAACCTATGGTACGCGTGCCAAAGGTGGCACACAAGCTGATTTTCAGTGGCACTCACACTGCCCGGGTCCTGGCCACCGGTCCGGGGGGCTCTGCATTTTAATTTAATTTTAAATGAAGCTTCTTAAACATTTTAAAAACCTTATTTACTTTACATACAACAATAGTTTAGTTATATATTATAGACTTATAGAAAGAGACCTTCTAAAAACGTTAAAATGTATTACCGGCACGCGAAACCTTAAATTAGAGTGAATAAACGAAGACTCGGCACACCACTTCTGAAAGGTTGCCGACCCTTGCTATATAACCTGTAAGTAAACTCATTGAGGTACTAAAAACAACATGGACTGAAAATAATCATAACAAAAATATGGATACTACAATGACTTAATAGCATAAAACATATTCAGAAAGACAAAAAGTTGCATTTCTGTTTATTAAAGAAGGGATACTGGTGGTTTTCCATCACCCCCGCAGTGAGACTATGGCTAGAATAAACAGCCACCTCTCTCAATGACACAGTGGAGAATAAAAGGGGCCGAAGAGTAAACAAAGAATGTATTTACCATGGAGGTGGATTATCTAGCAATTGAATTACCACCATAGCATCTGACTCTGTATAAGCAGAAGCCATCCTTTCTCTGGCCTTTATATGATGGAGACAGCCATTTTAGGGTGGAGGGAGGTTATAAGATTTGTTTTTTACCTTTTGCATTGTGATTTTATTTTTCTAAGAGTATTGATTATTGTTTGCTCCCTAGTACAATGTTATGGTTGGATTATACCTGATCATTTCTCTTGATGAATCCTGCCAAGCAAATTGTGATTATGCCTCTTTTAATTACAGCAGCATGGCTTGTTTGTATAAGGCCAGTGCGGGAAGTATCATTCAGTTGGGGAAGCTATGTTGTGACAGTTGATAAGAGGCATCACACATCCTGCATCTTGGCAGGGGGTTAGATTAGATGACACTTACGGTCCCTTCTAACCCTATGGTTCTATGACATTTGACTTCTGGCCAGGTGAGGCCCCCCACACCTAAGTGTGGAGACAGAAGAGAGTATATGGCTGTGGTGATTGTGAAATCAGATTACGCTGTGCCTCAGTGTGAGATAATGCCAGTGCCATGGTTATAGTGAGTAGATGGACATATCACCATGGTGATGACCCCGGTCTCCTAGAGAAGGGTGTCAGGAACAGACTGGCTGGATCACAGCCCAGAATGCTACAAGCACAAGTCATAGTGGACATGTTTCTTCGCTAGTGCATATCTCACCAGCAGCCTCAATCCAGATTTGCACCCAATGCAGATTACCCTATTGGTCTCTTCCCCTGTACCATCAATAGCCTGTATTTTTATCTGTCAGGGCACAACTGAAAATTATCCGTAGCCCAAAAGTAGAGACCTTCTAAAAGAAAAGCCAAGGTGTGTTCAGGATCCTGGGCCAGTCTGCCCTGAAGGTGTCAAGTCCCTGATGTGTGAGTGCACCTTGCTGGCCAGGGAATGGAGCATCATAACAATGGGTCAGAGGGAGGCTCCTTATTCTGTTCTCTGTAATAGCGATTGAATCAGGCTGGGGCAGCAACAGGTAAGGGTAGGTCACAGTAACAGGAAAACAAGGCTCCAGAAGGGAGCAGGGTGTGTTTTACCCCTTCTGAGGGTTGACTAAAAAAGGCCTGTTTTACTTGTGCAGTGTTTACTTTCTTTGTTTCTACTGTTGCTTCCTCTAACTGCAAATCACAAGCGGCCCAGGGCGTCTTCATTTTTCTCGACTGAACATTTTCTCCTAAGCAAGGAAGTCTCTCTGTCCTCCCTCCCCACTTTTGCCAAGCAGGGCAGGTGGCTCATCCCATCAGGGTGACTGTTACCCTCAGTTGGGCAACAATACTTGGTTAGAGTCACAAGGTTATTTTAAAAAGTTTAAAAAAAATGTTTTATAGGTCAGTATTTAAAAGCAGGTACAGGTTAGGAGAAAAACAACTGATACACAAAGAAAAATCTCAGTTTTTTTCTATTTAATGGAACTAATTTTTATGTCACTTTCAACAGTAGGCACAAGTGGATTTAAAATTCCAGATTCCTCCGAAACAGGGCAGTTACTAGATTTGTTTTTTTGCCTTGTCCACCTAATATTTTTCTTTTCAATTCTATTTTGGGGGGGAGGGTAGAGGCAGAAACATAGCAAACTTAGGCCCCAATCCTGCACCAGCACAGAAGCATTCGGAGCCCTTTGTCTGAGCAGAGTTCCTTTAACTTCAATGGGACTCCACCTGCGCACATGCTGTTGTAGGACTAGGACTGTAAAAGTATTGCTTCTGCTCCCCAACCTCCTCCCTGTTCGTTCCATTTGGATATGTTAACTGTTCAGTATCCAAATACGAACCAAAATATACAGGCAAAGGTAAAGCCGGGATGGCATGAGTTTGGGGTTTTTTTGCTTATTTTTTAAATTTATTGGGATTTCTATAAAATATAAAACAGCACCATCCAGAGGCTTTAAATGCTTTTGAAATACAGTGAAACACAAACTGACCTAGACAACAAAAATTAATCCCGCTGCTTCCCTAACACAGAAAGTGAGGAGAGAGAGAGAGACCTCTTTTCAGAGTAGGAGCCATGTTAGTCTGTATCCGCAAAAAGAACAGGAGTATTTGTGGCACCTTAGAGACTAACACATTTATTTGAGCATAAGCTTTCGTGGGCTACAGCCCACTTCTTCGGCCTCTGTGATCCTAGCCCACAATAATAGCCAGATCGGCTTTTAATTCACCCAACTCTTCCCAAAAGGTTGGGCTTTGCAATGTGCCCTGAAAATCAAATGGTTTGGGCCATTTGAATCAAGAATGGCACACAATCTGCTACATTCCTCCTTCTTGTTTTTATTAGTTTCCATTTGATCTTATTTGTTTTTTGCCAACAGGTTCCCCTGTCTCAATGTTCCAGAAGACAAAGCAACTCTGAGATTAAGTGTTCCATAAAGCCTTGGAGTTCCTCTTCAGTTCCTGTGAATCAGTCTTCACTTCCTCTCGTGCTGATAGGAATAAAGAAAGGTGAGGTTCTCCACTGGGACCATGTCCTGTTCCACTCATGCGAGATTATCTTCTCATGCTTTAAAGCACAGGCTCTGTTGTGGGTCTGAGAGCTCTTGTTTATTCCAAAGTATTTGGTATGACCTAGAAAACTGTTGCTTTCTATAGTGCCTGGCGTTACCTCTTTCTTTTTGTTTGCCAATTGGAATTTCAAAGTGTTATTATTTAGTTGCATTGTGGTTGCAACGACAACATGCTAGGTGCTGTCCGAACATAGATGGAGATACAATCCCTGGCCCAAGGATCTTACAATAAAAGAAGAAATGAGCATATGAAGGGTGGGGGACAGGGATATAATCAAATAGATATAACTTAAACAAATCTGCTCACTGTCTCCATCATTGCCCCTCACTTTATCAATTCTTTGCCAGTTACTAATGTACTGATGTTTTATTAACTATGGACCACATCTTGCATCCTTTATTTGCACAAAATTCCTGGGATACGAATGGGTCCATGGATATTTGGAGCCTGGAGGAGAAATATTCAGATTTAAGGTTCGGTTTCCAATTTCCTGTTTAGGGCCTGGGGGACTCTAAATTGTGCGTTCCTGGATTCCGTCCCTATTCCACCCTCCAATGTCTAACAATCCATTTCCTGTCCTCCTCTTTTTCTAAATCTGAAATTCCCCCATCTTCATCAGGCACATTGCCAAGCCCAGTTTGTCTTGCATAGCTCCAGTCTGCCTCTCCAGGCAAATGTTATATGCTATTCTGTGCAATATGCACCAGGCTCTGCACTAGCATCCTTAAAGGGCTGTGTCAGCAGTATGTATGTATGGTGCATGCATGAGGGATTGTTAAAGGACCAGAAAGGAAGGTGAGTTGGGAATGGATGGTTACAGGGTCAAAGGGAGGATGCAAAGGAAGGGTAAAGACCTGAAGACCTTTTGAGATTCAGGCACTGCAACAGAATTCCTCACAACACAATGTTTACAATTGTTGTTCCATGCACATCCCTCCTCAACATCACACCCAAATTTCTCTTTAAAATCTTCCTAAAAATGAATATTATGTTAAAAGTGCATTGACAAATAAGCATCACCACTAATAAAATTACAGGGTATTTTTACAGCTCCAAGCAGAGTGTGACTGTATGTTCATGTGGTTCATTCATAATGTTCATAAACCCAGAGGCCCATACCTGGTGCAATAATTTCTCCCCCTCTTAGTTACTAACTGGCCTATGGCAGTAGGATCAACATTGACACAGAAATGAATATACTGAGACTGACTGATAGTTATGACAGGATATGAAAAGACTCTCCAAGCTCAATTAAGTCTCTTAATAAAGCTGAATGAATGTACCAAAGATCAATGAAACATTTTTCAGTTTGGTAATTTGGATTGCCTCATTTGAATCTTTTCTTAATTAAAACCTAAATATTACAAACCCAAGGAAAAAGACGTTATTAGCCAAATTAACCAGAATTCTTTTAAAGCCAAGATTGTCCAGCCAGATCATCAACTGATATAAATTGACATATCTTCGTTGAAGTTAATAGAACTATGCAGATATATGCCAGCTACGGGGCTGGCTCATTACATTGATAAAGTCATGCTCCCTGGTTTAGTATCCCCCTGTGTACAGCACAAGCTTAATCATACCAATTATGCAGCCATTTGTCCTGTAGCTTAAGAATCATTAAATATATATTTAAAATTAAAAAAAACTTACCATCCTGTAAAGTTTATCTTCCAAGTCCTGATTAATTCTTTGTAAGGCTAGATAATTGTTTTGTATCCTAAAACAAAGATGATATAATATAATTAGAAGTGTTTACATATTTCTTTTTACTTGTATTTTTGCACCTCAGCATAAACTTGGGCTCCCATTAATATTAAACTATATTTACTTTTCACTTCTGCTGCCTATCAATGGTTAGGAGTTTAAAGCCCAAGGCTTTAGCAATATATTTACCATCCACTTCCTGAGAAAACCACTTTGACATATTTGCTTACTATAGTTAGAGGCAAATTGTGCCAGAAGCCCTGAATGCACAAGAGCCAGTGCCATTCCTGGACATAAGTATGCATGGAGCACCAGGATGTGGGAACCTGCACAGAGGGTATCCTGTGCACCATGCTCAGGAATTGTGGTGGTAGAGCTGGGGGAGAGGCATGATCTGCAGATCATCAAATGCATGGATTCACTAACCACGCCTTCAAGTTAAGGGGTGATGCTACTGGAGTTCTGAGATTGCAAGAACAGCCACATAAAGTCATCACTGTATGGCTTAGGAGAATTCCTTCTGCTAGACCACAGGAATCCATGCCCTAGCACACCCAACACATTGACTTGGGCTTGGTGTAGAGAACAAAATTTTGCCCTCAAAAGGATGGATAGGTATTTATTTTTATTAACATAATGGGACTGGGGTGGGACATAGGAAACAGAAACTTCCTATTTATTCAGGAGTTACATGCTCAAGAAAGTTTGTCAGCTTCTCCAGCTCTATCCTGCTAGTAACCATAGTGTTCTAGGAGACAAGTTGCCTAGAATTGGCTCTGTCAGAGACATCAGCCATCACTATAACAATAGTGACTGTGCCTCATTTTTCCATATCCTAAGGGATGGTGGTGCCCTGTTACACATGTGCATAACAGCCCATCGGTATGCCCTGCTGTATGCAGGTAGGGGCCATTGGCAACTTAATGTTCAGGTTTGAAAAGTTTATCTAAATGCCTCTCAAATCTCTGCATTGGACATCTCATGGGAACAGACCTAAGGCCTTCTTCACTATGATGTCCTAGGCAATGGATCCTGCTAATAGTGAACTTGGATATAATGAACAACTGGGCCTAGGTTGAGAAGTTTGAATCTGAATTCAGCTTCCCAAAAGTACAGTGGGCCTAGAAGCATGATTTTGGTTTGACCAATTATAGAGATAGGGAAAAGCCTTGAAATGAGGATTGAACTATGGATTCAAACTGCCCCAGAGTTGGGTGAGGGGATGGTCAGGCCTATCTCTGATTTACAATGAAATAGAGTGGCATTTCAGACCTATTTCCACTGCTTTGTGCTGTAAAGATTTTCCTTCCAATTATATGGCAAAATTCCCCATTTAGAGACTGCATCAGCGGATCATAATTCTGGGACTTTGCTTTCCCTATGTGCCCAGAATTCTTGTGGGGTTGTAGGGTAGGGAGAATGGACTCTAGGTGTTAAGATCTGTCAGGCAGATCTGTGAGGAAAATTTTTGCCCCTAGTAAAGCTGTGGAAAAAGGAGGACTTCCCTATGGGGGAAATTCCCACTGTGAAAGGGGGTGGGTGTGGGGGTCAAATTAAGTCCCATAAGCCTTATTTTGAGAGCCTAAAGAGGACTAAGGTGCTGTACAGACCTTCTGTTGGCCCACTACACAGAGGTGAACCTCACCCTAGAGGAGGGCTCTGCGGTAATGCTGTCTGCCAAGTGGACGACCAAATTGGTGAGAAAGCGTATACAATGAGCCCTTGTACAGAACTAGAGGTCAGTTCATGAAATCACCAGCTGAACTGATTACATCTCCTGATGTCATTGTTACAAATTTCTAGGTGATTAAATGGCTTGGTTGGAGTTCACAGATCTCTCTATCTTCTCTGTTCCTATCACATGCACCAATTCATATTAAGCCTCTATATAGATGTCTACTTCTGCAACCACTAAATAGATTTTCACTGCTAGCCAGATTCAACATGACAAAGAAAAGTCTGAAGCTGTATTACACCCTACCCACCTTCCTCCAGAAAAAACAATAGGAGAGAGAGAGAGAGAACAAACATTATTATAGCAAAGAAAAGTGCCAGCCGACTTGGGCTTGGACTGCGGGGCTGTTCCATTGCTGTGTAGACTTCCAGGTACAGGCTGGAGCCCAAGGTCTGGGACCCTCCCCACTGCGGGGTCCTAGAGCCCGGGCTCTATCCAAAGCCCAGAAATCTACACAGCAATGAAACAGCCCAGCAGTCCAAGCCTGAGTCAGCTGACATGGGCCAACCATGGGTTTTTCTTTACTTTGTAGACATACCCATATGAGGCTCCCTGTCTACACCCTTAAGAAAGTTGCAGGCATAGAACATGACCTAATGCTTCTCTAACTCGTTAATTATCTATGCTGTTCAGATGAGGGCATGCCATGGAGAGTAGCTGATCCCCCTGGTTTTGCGCCTACTCCAGCACAGGCCTGATTCTGCACTGTTTTGCTATTGACTTCAAAGAGCACAGGATCAATCCCCATTAACTCAACTCTTCCTGTGACACATAATAGTCTCCTGTCGGCTGTAATATTTTGGTCTAATTTTAGTTGTTGGGTTTAGTGTGGATGTTGGGTAGCATTGGTGGCCTGTGATATACAGGAGGTCAGCATAGGGCCTGCTCTACACTAGGAATTGACACTTCTGAGCAATGCACTTAAACCAACCTAACCCCCCGGGGTAGGCAGTGTTAGGCCGACAGGAGAATTCTCCCATCAACTGAGCTACTGCCTCTTGGGGAGGTGGATTACATACACTGACGGGAGGGTTTCTCCCATTGGTGTAGAATCTTCACTGGAGCGCTGCAGTGGCACTGCTGTGGTGGCACCACTGTGCTGCAGTAGCGGTTTCTGTGTAGACAAGCCCTAGATGATCTGGTGGTCCCTTCTAATATTAAACTCTTCACTCTGACAGTGCCCCCCCTCTATGGGTGCAGTAGGAATGTGTCATGGGCTATTGCTCCCTGCTTCTCCTACTCCATTTCCATCCAGGTTTGCTCTATCCACACGAGTTAGTGGACTGTAGCATGTAAACCCTAGTTCTCTGAAATACTCCTTTTTAAATAAAATTTTTAGAAAATTAACAAAACTCACTAAGCAAGAGCCAAACCTCAACAAAACGGTGACAGATGAGTTGTTCAATGCCTATTTTGCTTCAGTCTTCACTAAAAAGGTAAACCGTGACTGGATATTTAACACAATTAATGTTAATAACAAGGGGGAAGGAACACAAGTCAAAGCAGGGAAAGAACAGGTTAAAGAATACTTAGATAAGGGAGATGTATTCAAGTCAACAGGACCTGATGAAATTTACCCAAGAGTACTTAAAGAAACTAGCTGAAACAATTTCAGAACCATTAGTGACTATCTTTGAAAACTCATGGTGGATGGGTGAAGTCCCTGAGGACTGGAGAAAGGTACTTAAAAAGGGGAACCAAGAGCATCTGGAGAAGTATAGACCAGTCAACCTAACTTCGATACCTGAGAAGATACTGGAACAAATTATTAAACAATCATTTTGTCAACACCTAGAGGATCGTAGGGTTATAAATAAAAGCCAACATGGGTTTGACAAGAACAAATCATACAAAACCACTTTAATTTCCTTCTTTTGCAGGATTACTGGTGAGTGGATAGGGGGAAAGCAAGAGATGATACATTTTGATTTTAGTAAGACTTTTGACAGTCCCACATGAATTTCTCATAAGCAAATTAGGGAAATGTAGTTTAGATAAAATTACTATAAGGCAGGTGCATAACTGGTTGAAAGACCAGAGTAATTATCAATAGTTCGATAGCAAACTGTGGGGGGCAGGGAGGGGGCTTGCAGAGGTCTGTCCTTGGTCTGGTACTAGTCAATATTTTTACTCATGACTTGGATAATGGAGTGGAGATTATGCTTATAAAATCTGTGGAAGACACCAAGCTGGAAGGGGTTTCAAGCACTTTGTAGGACAGGATTAGAATTCAAAAGAACCAATGAGAACTTAGAGAACTAGTCTGAAATCAACAAGATGAAATTGAATAAGGTGTAGAATACTGCACTTAGGAAGGACAAATCAGATGTGCAACTACAAAAAGGGGAATAATTGGCTAGGCAGGAGTGCTGCTAAAAAGTATCTGGGGTTACAGTGGATCACAAATTGCATATGAGTGAATATTGTGATGCAATTGTGAAAAAAGGCTAATATAATTCTGGGGTGTATTAACAGAGTGTTGTATGTAAGACCTGCGAGGTAATTATCTTGCTCTATTTGACACTGGTGAGGTCTCAGCTGGAATGCTGTGTCCAGTTCTGGGCACCACACTTTAGAAAAGATGTAGACAAATTAGAAAGAGTCCAGAGGAAGAGGTACAAAAACAATAAAAGGTTTAGAAAGCCTGACCGATAAGGAAATGATAAAAACACTGGATATGTTTAGTCTTGAGAAAAGAAGATGGGGCGAGGGAGAGGGGGAACCTAATAACAGTCTTCACATATGTTCCCTATGTCCACAGAAGGTAGGACAAGAAGTAATTAGCTTAATCATCATCAAAGGAGATTTTCCCAATATCTAAGTTAAAACTTGCTATCTATAAGGATAGTTAAATACTGGAATAAGCTTCTAAGGGAGGTTGTGGAATCCCCATCACTGGAGGTTTTTAAGAAGAGGTTAGACAAATATCTGTCAGGGTAGTGTAGGTATACTTGGTCCTGCCACAGTGAAGAGGGCTGGACTAGATGACCTCTCAAGGTCTCTTCCAGCCCTACATTTCTATGAAAACCCCTACAATATAGAAGGAGCTGAGCTTCAGAGAGTGTTTCTATTGAGAACTGTATGCAAAGGTAATCAAAATAAAGTAGATAAACACAAGCACACACAAAACCCAAACTGGAAAAATAAAAGACCCACGGAGCCAAAAGAAGTGTCAGTACTGTGAATGGGGAGGGGGGAAATGGACTCAGAAATATATGGAAAAAAGCATTAAAGGTATGAAAGGAAAATAATATAATAAAATTAAATAAAATCTTTTGGCAATACATTTAAAAATAAAGCAGGAGTGGAGAAAATTAATCTGACCTTCAATGATCAAATGAACAAATGGTATCATAGCCCCACTTGTAGAGAAAAGCATTCACCCCGATTGTCTGAATTTTGCAGTGTCTAAGACTTTTATATTGTAAAATCTGTCAGCTTTGTAAATTTCAGTGGTAATTGGGTTGACTAAGCTATGAATTGCCTTTTACAAAGAATGAATTATTTGATGTGACCCTGTTCATTTATTATGTTTTTGGTGCCTTCTCTGTGTCCTGTAGTAAATTCAAATTGTATGGCACCCTTGTGCTCTGTATGTGTGGGTGTGTGCACCCATGCAGTGCAACTGCTCATGTTTCTCAGGGTCTAATAAAAAGAATTCTGATCATCACTACTATTAAATATCTATGTGGTCTAATGTAGCAGAAAATACCTTCCCCTTGCAAGGTAAAATTCACCCCTGTGCAGATAGCTCATACAAAGCCTATGCACTGAGACCTCAAAATGTGGGTTAAATGAAGCATAGGCCTTGTGCAGCTGGCCCTCTGCACAGGAGGAAATTTCACCTAGATAGCAGTTCTGCTTTGAAGAGTGACTGTACAAATGGCACCTTCTTCTTCAACAGGTTTGTTCCTTGTCTGTACTCTAAAGTTTTATCTACTTTCTTACAAATATAAGATGCTTTTTCTCCTACCAGCACTGCAAAGGAGCCAACACAGCTGCGAGGCCCCTGTTCAGGAACCCACTTCAATACATGCTGAAGTCCATCCCTCTATAGTGAAGCACTTAAACACGTATGTTTAAGTGGATTTTACTTCTTGTGCATCAACAGAATTCTACTCTAAATTCCAAGTGGAGACGATGGGTTTTGCACAGTTGTTACTGAAGGCATAATCTGAGAGTTGTACAGGTGTGGACGTGGGCCTAATTTGACCAGCAGAACCTTTATTACTGGTTGGGGTGCAAAAGAAGGAATGATTCCAGCAGGGCTCTTTGAGCTCAGTTTGAGTTTTCAGGACTGGTAGTCAAAATGCATGGTTGGTTTTTTTTACTTTTAAACTGAGCACACTCTTAAACACAACACTGGTTAGATATTGGAAAAAACTTCCTAACTAAAAGGGTAGTTAAGCTCTGGAATAGGCTTTCAAGGGAGGTCATGGAGTTCCCATCATTGGACACTTTTAGAAACAAGTTGGACAAACACCTCTCAGGGATGGGCAAGGTTTCCTTGGTCCTGCCATGGCACAAGAGGCTGGACTTGATGACGTCTCGAGGTCTCTTCCAGCTCTACATTTCTATGATTCTATGATATGCAAATCATTGTGAGGCACACGGAACCCCACAATGCCATTTCAGCCACTTTTCAAAGCAGAACTATGGTTTAAGGGTGGGAATTTCAGAATTGCTCAGCATTGGCCAAACTCTGCTCCCTCTGATGTCAATGGAAATTTTACCATTGAATTCAGTGGGGGCAGTATAGGTCAACATGGTGTGCTTAGAAAATCCTACTCCTTTAGAGAATGATAGGCCATCAAGTCATCTAAATGTGCCCTCCCTAAACAGGATATAGTTGTGTTTAAAACAAACAAAAAAGACAGTTTGTTTTGGCATTGCTGTAGATTAAATTAAGGGTGTGGGAGGCTTTCGAAGCAATGGCTAATGGAGCTTCCAGCTTTTAGGGAGAACGCTGCTCAGAGCAGCAGTACAAGTTTAATGACTGAAATGTTTTTTAGCGTACAAGTGGGACCATGTTACTCTGTGCTTATCTAGTACAGTTGTTCACATTTACCTTTCTCTTTCTTTAGAAATGAACAACGTGGGAGATAAATTCTTGATGTTATAATATTGCTCTTACTGTTCTTTACACACTGATCTTCATATAGTTATTTTTACATGTTGCTGACACTCTTTTGGATCATACTTTTGTTTAAAATGTTTATCTGTTTCCAGTTTGGGGATTTCTAGGTGTTTATCTTGCCTTATTTTTTTATGTTTTTGCTATTCTCAATAGAAACAATTTTTAAAGCTCACCTTGTAAAGTATTTTGGGCTTCCCACATGATAAGTCTTCGGAGGAGAAATCACCTGCCTGGAACATAATTTTTTTTGTATAAATTTTCTTCGTAATAAAAAAACAACTACCAAGTAGAGTATTAGAGAAGCACTTATAGTCATTTGATGTTAATACTTTCCACTGATAATGTTCTTTGCAATAAATGAAACACGTTATGGGCCTGACTTTTGGAGGTTCTGAACGTCCACAGCATCCACTGAACCTGATCCATTGTGCACTGATGTCAACAGCAGTCTTTCCATTGATTTCAACAGGCATTAGATCTGGCTCATTGACCTGAACTGAAGTACTAGGTGCTCAGTGTGACGTGATGCCCCATATTCTTCATAGAAATATGGTTATGATACGAATATGGCATAACTAAGATATGTTTTATGCAAGATGGGTCATGCGAGATATCATTGGAAAGGTTATGATTTACTGAATGTGATTATCCAATTTGTATGCATGTATCCTTTCTGTATCTGAAGTTAGAAATATTGACTATGTAATAATTACAACTGTGTTTTCACCTGGGGAACGCCCACCAAAAGTATGCAAATAGCTTGAATGGGCTATTAGGAAGGATACGAATCTCCCTCCTTCCTGAGAAGTTTCCTGGGATGCTGCTTTAACACTGTAGGGTCATGTGATCATGTCACCTGGTACAGGATACCATCTTGACGTGCTGGTACTTTTTCACGGGAAGGGGGTGGGAGTCAAACTGGGAAACAAAGGATTCCTGCCAAATACAAATCCTATTTAAGGCTGGGGAGTGAGTCAATCTAGACTCTTCTCCACTTCCTCCCCACCCAAGAAGGAAGACTGCTGAAAACAGCTGAAGAAACAAAGGAATTAAGCTGGGGGAGGCAGGGGCTGAGCAGAGGCGAGAAAGGTCAGCCTGTGAAGGGTATACCTGGAGATTTAAACTGCAAGCAGTGCAGTTTACCTTCAAGAAACTCTGCAACCTGCATAAAACAACTTTTAGGGAGAGAAATTACTGTTTGTAGCCAATTTCTTTAATGTATTCCGTCTAGTTTGCGTGTTTTGTTTTATTTGCTCAGTAATCTGCTTTGTTCTGTTTGCTATCCCTCATCACTTAAAATTTACTTTTTGTAGTTAATCAACTTGGTTTTTTGTTTATTCTAAAACTCAGTTTATGCAATTCATAACTGGGCAGGGGGGGTGCGGAAATTGTGTATATCTTCCTCCACATTGAGGGAGGGGGCGAATTTCATGAGCTTACGATGTATAGATCTTTATACAATGCAATGCAACATAATTTTGGGTTTACATTCCAGAGTAGTGGTGGGCAACCTGCGGTCCGCGGGCCACATGCAACCCATCAGGGTAATCCACTGGCAGGCCGCCTGACAGTTTGTTTACATTTGCATGGCCATCTGCAGCTCCCGGTGGCCCTGGTTCACCATTCCCAGCCAGTGGGAGCTGCAAGAAGCGGTGTGGGCCACAGGGATGGGCTGGCTGCTGCTTCCCGCAGCTCCCATTGGCCAGGAATGGTGAACCACGGCCACTGGGAATGGTGGGCGGCCGTGCAAATGTAAACAAACTGTCTGGTGACCCGCCAGCGAATTACCCTGACAGGCCACAGGTTGCCCACCACTGCTCCAGAGGGTATGGGCACAGGAGTGCTGGGAAATTCCCCAAGCTGAGTCCTCCCATACAGAGCTGATTCCAGACTGTGTGATTCTATAGCTGGGTGTGTCCCTACCTGTGTGTGTGTGTGCTGGAAGGGGCTTGAGAGCCTGTCACAGCAGCACAGAGTAAGGGGAACCCAGGCTGGTGGGATAGGTGGGCTCAGTGAGACCCCAGCACATCAGCTGGAGGCCCGGAAGGGGGGGTCCAATCCATCACACTCAGAACTTCTGAAAATCAGGCCCTACCTATATAAACAACCTGTCTACAAGCCTGATGTTGTTTTTTCTCTGGCAAAACTCCCACTGACTGCATGATTAGCCTTTTTATAATGTCCATGGCTCCTTCTGAGATCCAAATGTATATTATAAATAAGCAGAGATGGTAGGGAAGAAATTATATAGACCTGATGCAAGGTTTACTGCACATTTTCTAAAAGGCAAAGTTGAAGCGGGTTTTATGGCAGAAGATGGTTACTATACTTAAATACCGAGGCATGTTCCTATAAGTATTCCAAGCATAGTGAACGAGTTACCTGTATGCTCTTTTAAAAGTTGCATGAAAAGGTAGCATCTCAGATTAATTTCCAGTCTGGCTACACATTTTGTGTGTTTTTTATAACATGACTGAAATAGTGGGGTTTTTTACCCATGAAAGCTTATGCCCAAATAAATCTGTTAGTCTTTAAGGCCTGGTCTACACTGGGGGTGGATCAATCTAAAATATGCAACTTCAGCTACGAGAATAGCGTAGCTGAAGTCGACGTATCTTAGATCGACTTAGACGTACCCTAAGGTGCCACAGACCTCCTCGTTGTTTTTGTGAAATATCTGACTTACACTTTAAACAGGATATGCCTGAAGTAAAACATTATTTCAAATCCAGAAAGACCCAAATATTCCCTGTTCTATACCTGAGCCTTCCACTTGCCCTGCAAAATGTACTTCTTCAGGAAAAGTAATTTAATGTACAGTAAGAAGGATGGTTAACATTGCCATTTATTGGAAAACACTGTGAAAGTATTTGAAGAAAACTGCACTGAGAATGGAGTTACTTTGAACTGCTCTGATGTAAATGAAGCGATAAGAGAGAAGGGAAAAAATATGTTGTAGGCAGATAAGTAGTGTGGATAGCTGACTGCCTGCTCTACGTAGAAGCCTGTAGATAACAAAATCATGTAAAGTAGTATATGCTGTATCTCTGATTTAGGCCTTGATTCAGGAAAGCATGTAGCTTAATTTTAAGCATGTGCTAACATGATTTCCTGTACTGGTGTCTTAAAATTCAATCTGTTAAAAATTCTTTATTTATAGCAATTACCTGTTATCACTTATATTAGTGCTACAGTCCAACTAAGAAATGTTATGCAAGATTTCCGTTTCTACTTGGAAAGGTACTTTTGTTACCTGCATTAGGTGTGATGCACTGTCCGTTTTCCTACATCATGATGATGATGATGATGCCTTCAGGAAAAGTTCAACTGCATTTTTTCATAAATAAATGAATCTTTTGGTTCAGAGTTTTTCAAAAATGACTTGTACGCACTTAAGGCTAGAGCCTGCTCCCTTTTAAGTCAATGGTGGCTATTTTACAACAGAAAAACTTCAAAAACAGACTCCAACGAGAGACTGCTGAGCTGGAATTGATATGCAAACTAGATACAATCAATTTAGGACTGAATAAGGACTGGGAATGGCTGAGCCATTACAAACATTGAATCTATCTCCCCTTGTAAGTATTCTCACACTTCTTATCAAACTGTCTGTACTGGGCTATCTTGATTATCACTTCAAAAATTTTTTTTCTCTTACTTAATTGGCCTCTCAGAGTTGGTAAGACAACTCCCACCTGTTCATGCTCTCTGTATGTGTGTATATATATCTCCTCAATATATGTTCCATTCTATATGCATCTGAAGAAGTGGGCTGTAGCCCACGAAAGCTTATGCTCTAATAAATTTGTTAGTCTCTAAAGTGCCACAAGCACTCCTGTTCTTTTTGTAGATTATTACTATTATTTATACTGATTGGGCTCTAAATTTAGAACAGCTCTGTGCCTTTTTTCTGCACTGTTTGTATTCGTTTTAAATAGAAGGCTTTTTGTTTCACGTCATACTTTTTGGAAGTAAATGTAACATGTTTTACCACACCATGATATGAAACTTCATAACATTTCATATACTGAACATAAACTTTGCTCAGCTTTGAAAAACAGGGCCTAATTCTGCTTTTACACCAGCGTAAATGCAGAATAACTCAACGAATATCAATGCAGTTACACTGTACTTACTAAAGGGAATATCAATATCCTTTGTGTTTATAATATATAAACACACGTATGTATGTATATGCCATTAATTATATAAAGATTACATAACATGTATACAATATACACTGTATGCACACACAAATATACATATATATGTATGTGTAACACACATAGACATATATCAATATATATGTATGTGTAACACACATAGACATATATCAATATATATGTGTGTGGTATGTAACAAATATGTGTGTGGGTGTAAAGTGTACTATAAACATGTTTATATAATGAATGGAGTGCATATCTTTACATTGTTAAGTACAGTAGTTTGTATATTCTCAATGCAGTTTATTTATTTAAAAAAAATACTCACCTTCTCAATTTTTCGGTTACTTTTTCAAGTTCTTCCTGAGCACGTCTCAGTTCAATTTCAAGATATTGGCGAGTAGAATCAAATTCTGTTTCAAGCATTTCCAGTTTGTGGGTAGTGTAGGATAGGCGCTTCCGTAATTCCCCCTTCTGTTCTTGCAAAGTACTGGAAGAACAAACACTGCAGTTATAGCATTTAGAAGTTCTGGAAGACTCTTTAATGATCCACTATTTTCAAATGGCCTCATTATCCATATTTCCCCAAAAATATGGCTTTGTAGTGAGAAAGAGAACAGTACTTATTCATCTATTTACTAATTTTTGTTAAAATATTATTTAAAATGATCATGTTGACAATCTCTCTCCATCCATCCTTTCTAGGACACCCATCACTGGTATCCAAATGCCATTATAGGACATTTTGTGGAAACATCCTCAATAAAAATATAATACATTTTAGAATACATTGAAAACCAAATTTTGGTTTTATGTGATGTCTTTCATTCTGAAATGTTCTAAAACTGCTTTATGTAATGCTATGTACAAACAGCCTCAATTCCCCATCTGTAAAATAATAATAATAATCTGGCTTTGTCTATTTAGATTATAAACTCTTCAAATCAGGGATTGTCTCTTACTTTGTCTGTACAGTGTACCGCAAAATGAGGTCCCGATAAAAAGTTGGAATCCCTAGCTGCAACTGTAATATAATAATAATACAGACTCTTCATTGCTATGTTGGCTTTGAGTATGAGCTCAGGTCCTGATCTGGAACTTGAATCCACTATGACCTAGTGGCATGAGTGTTACCAAATGAATCACATTTGCTACCGTAACCGGGCAGCTTGCCCCTTTAAGAGCCCAGAGCCCTTGGGCTAGTCAGCCCTGTTCAATGAGCCCTGCCCTGCTACACCTGCACTAGGTGTTGGGTTTAAGAGGAAGGAAGCCCAGCAGTGGGGAACCAACTGGATAAGAGAGCAGAAGGCAAGTAGAGGCCTGTGGAGGACAAGAGGTCCTCAAGAAAGAGCAGGGAGCAACCTCAAGGAGGCCAGGGGGGCTGAGGGGAGAGATGGTAAGCCGCCTAGGCAGGACAAAAGCTGAGCACAGAGGCTGGGCAGAACAGTGCTTGTAGTAGAAGAGAGAAGACAGACCCTTTGGGAAGGAAGGTTTGAGCAGGGCCGGCTCCAGGCACCAGCTTCCAAGCAGGTGCTTGGGGCGGCCACTTCTGAGAGGGGCGGCATGTCCAGCTGTTCGGCGGCATTTCAGCAGAAGGTTCCTCACTCCTGCTCGGAGCGAAGGACCTCCCGCCGAATTGCCGCCGCAGATCGCGATCGCGGCTTTTTTTTGTTTTTGTTTGGCAGCTCGGGGCGGCCAAAACCCTGGAGCCGGCCCTGGGTTTGAGACAAGGGCAATTATTTTGGTTTTTTTTATTGCTTTGGACATGGATACTCTGGGAGGGGTGGAGTTTTGTTAATGACTTAGCTGGAGGGTCAAGTCACTGCAGCAAGTCACCTTCACAGCAGGAATAGGCCAAAGATCAGTGTGAGGAAACTGAGGTGTAAGTGATGTGATGCTGGGTCTCACCATAAGGGGGTGCTTTAGGACAGTGAGCCCTGTACAGTCACCTTGCTTACTTTTGATATATGCTAAATATAACATTTCATAAAATAAGGGCCAAATCCTGATTCCTTTGATGTCAATGGCAAAACTACCATGGATGTCAAAGGAGCAAGGTTTTGAATGTAAACACAGCTTATTTTCTTTGGGGAAAAAATGGGCTGGCTCCAGACAAACTGACCTAATTAAGGCAACATGAGTCACACTCACACATAGAATTTGTTAATGTGTAGGGTTGATGAGTTACAGATTCACAGATGAAATAACTTTTTAATGTACATAAGTGATAATGTCTCAATAGAGAGACAAGACGAGTGAGGTAATTTTACTAGACCAACTTCTGTTGGTGAGAGAGACAAGCTTCTGAGCTTACACAGAGCTCTTCTTAAAGTCAGATTGTTTAGCATAAGTAGTTAACTCATATTTCATGGGACCATTCAAGATGAAGTGGCCCATTAACACCCTTCCAGTCATAGGCGGGGAGAAAAGGAGGGGTTGGAAAGGCAGCTCCGGGACGACTTGGAGGGTTGTTACTGGGTTATACATTTTTGTAATTGTAGGGAGGTGGGGTGGTTCCCTGGTGCCCCAGAGAGGGACTAGCTCTGCTGGACACCAGCGTGAGCGGAGCCAGAGTACTCCAAGCCTGCCCCCCAGAGGGTCAGAGGCTGGACAGGAAGTATAAGAGCCCAACCCCAGAGCTCGCTCGAGAGGCAGCCAGCCAGTCTCCAGCCCAGCTCCCACTGGGGAGACTCCAGCATCCAGCGGCGGACCTGGAGACTGGCCTGACCGGCCAACACTCGACACGGATCAGCGTGTGGGAGAGTCGCTGAGCCTACCCCTCGCCAGCTGCCCCTCGCATCCAATGGTGATCGACCCCTCCCCCCCCGAGGATCCCCTTTGACCCAGGTACCTCCAGAGGGGAAGTTGGGAAGTAGCCCGGGGGCAGCTGACCTGAGTCTTGTGGCAACGCAGCCCGAACCCATGTCAGTGTGTTGCGGCTGGGATTCCCACTGACAGCAGTGGGCCTTTGGCTGCTGCTAGGGTCCCAGGCTGGGATGCAGTGGAGTGGGTGGACCTGCGTCCCCCCTGCCACCCAATGCGTGGGTGGCAGTCTCCCCCTCTCCCAGGCCCCTCGGAGCCTGAAGCCTGGGTTTGCTATTTACCTATGTTTGCTCAGCCCCTGCCTGAGGGCCTGAGCCTTGAACTCATTGCTGCCCCGCCCTGGACCTGTTGACTATCTAAACTGCTGCTCAGCCCCTGCCTGAGCCTGGAACCCATCGCTGCCCCGCCCTGACCTAGGCCTGGGCTTGTTATCTTCTAATTGTTACCTGTGTGTGCTCAGCCCCCTGCCGGACGACTTGAACCAGGACTCCTGGGACCCGACCGATTCCCTAGGGGGCCGTGCAAGGACTAAGGGAGGCGGTGTGGTTCCCTGCCGCCCCAGAAAGGGATGAACTCCGATGAACCCTCTCTACAGTAATAAGCGATAAATCCAATGTCTCTGTTTAGTCCATGATTTTTAGTGTCTAGCAAAGTTATGAATTTAAGATCCCAGGCTTGTCTTTTGAAAGTGTTGTGCAGGTTTCCTTGAGGATGGGGACTGACAGGTCAGATATGGAATGATCACTTTGTGAATAGTGTTCACCCACAGGAGATATGGGGTTCAAGCACACTATGGGATTGGTTCAGCTTTTGCAAGAAGCAACAATTCCCTGAATCTCCCCCCTACTACTTCTCTGCCCAAGACTTGGCAGTGCTCCTGCCTCTAGGGTGACCAGATGTCCCGATTTTATAGGGACAGTCCTGATATTCGGAGCTCTGCCTTATATAGGTGCCTATTCCTTGTCCTGATTTTTCACACTAGCTATGTGATCACCTTATCTGCCTCCCACTTCTCTGGACACCCACCCCTCCCTCTTGCGCCTGACATCCCCTGCAACCCATTTCCCTGTAACTCCTAAATTGCCTCCTGTTCCCCCATGCCTACGCCCTCTCACTTGTCCCATCCACCTTTCATAGTATCCATATTGCTCCTCACAGTCTATGTCCCGTCAAGAACCCCTGAACTGAGCGGTAGCCATTTTGCCTGTGGGTGTGTCTTCAATCTAATTGAAAATAGTGGGAGGTGGTAGCTATCTTTATTAAGTGCAGCCTCATTTCCACAAATAGATAGACAGTAGGGATAGATGGCCATCTTCAGACCCATTGACAGTAATAGGAGATGGTGGCCATACTGAATCAAGGAAAATTCATGAGTATAGGAGCCTTTCATCATATTTTCATGAGACAGATAAAATCTATCCCAGAATTGCTAGAGTCAAGATAAAATTGTCAGAGTTGGCAACACTTATTTGACTTGTCTTTAATACACTGGCTCTCATTGGTAGCTCTTCTTTTTGTTACAAAAAGAACCTACGTATATTAAAGGAAAAAGCTTTAAAATTCCTGCTTACTGTAACAGAGTAGCCTAAATCTTGGAAATAGCCTAATGTTTTGCCAACACCATGTTCTATTTTTATTGAATTTTTTGTATGATTACAGTTGTACTTGGCTTACCACTAGTAGTTGCACTATTTTAAAAATAATATATCTTAATTCAGGGAACAAATGCTTCTCTGCTTAACACCGTCATCTGGATTTCTATTTTTTCTCTTCTTCCTAAAGGATCAGTACCTTGAAGGAACTATACACCAAATATAGGGCTGGATCCAAAGTGCACAGTGAATCTTTCCATGGACTCCAGTGCATTTTGGAACAGGTCCATAGTGGCTGCTTTTAGGGAAGTATCTTTAGAATTATGCATACAGTTATAGTTGGCCTTATAATATTACTATGATACATTATTCTATGAGCACTTTAGGAAGAAGAAAGGAGAAGCAGGAATACTATGTTAAACAGAGACCCATTTGTTGCTTATGGCCCAAGTTAAGCAAAGCATTCAAACATGTGCTTAATTTTTAGGCAGATGCTTTAGTCCCCATGAAGTCAGCTTTGAAGGGTATAAGTGCTTATGTGCTTTGCCAAATAGGGATGGGTTATTCACTTGCTTAAAGTTAAGTACATGCTTGAATGCTTGGCTGACTCAGGACCATAGGCAACAACTATAACTATATAAAATTGAAGAGAAAGTGTTGATAGAACATATTTAGGCTACTTTAAAGACCAGGGTTTATGCTGTTTCAGTAAGCAGTGATTCTGGAACGAGGGGCTGTCCATACACTGAGAAAAGGAGAGGACCATTCCTAGAAACATAACCCAGCAACTACTTTTTTAACTAGAAAGACCAAATTGTCCAACATTTACCTTCTAGTATCAACATTTAAAAATGAATTAAAAATTAACAACTCCTATTTAACATCCGTTTTAACTCATTCTGATGGATAAACTGATTGTTTGTTTTTTAAGATTTTTTTTAAGAGTTAAAAAGTATACGAGAGAGTTTGCTTTAGTAACATGCAGTATATAATATATTACATTCCATGTTAAAAAATTGATGATACGGTCAAAGGTGTGTGTGTGTAAAACCTATATAATTTAAAATAAAATATA